GAAGGAGTAGGTGGATACCAGTTATGACAAAAGAGTTGCCTTACTATTTCAATGGATCTGCAATCTCATTGGTGTCTGAGTGGTCTCTTCAGTGGTGCTGATCACAAACCATCCATTGGTTAGCCTTCACTCTTACCCCATGACGAGCCTCCATTTTTCCAATAATATCTCCACTGGTGATATGTTTCAACCTCCTCACATCCACCATAAGCTTTCTATTCTCCTTTGGCCAGTTGATTATTGGAGGGCATAATTAAGCAGAGTCAATTAAGGAAAAGAAATCTCTAAAAGACTGAAGAACCAAAGAGCTTTTAAAAATAAAAGACACTGTAAAAAAAGAATTAGCAAATTTACACAAAGAGAGCGTTAATTTTCTATAGTTAGGGATAATGGGAGAGTGCATTTAGGAGAAAGGGACGGAGTGGAGTGGAGGGTGAGATCTTTTTCGATCAAAGCTGTCCATCCTAACCAGTAAACATTTTTATTGGGATTATTTTTGTTGTTGAAGCTGCAATAATAGTTTAGGCAAGAAGTAATCCAAAAATGAATGAAGAAGAAAATTAAGATGCAAATATATTGATGTACACTACTTAAGAATACTAGTGAAGGAGAGAGAAACCACTATAACATGAGTTCTGTATTGGGCCCTGGCTTGGTCTTAAAAAGGAAAGATTTGCCTTTTGGGGCAAATTGAAGAAGGATGAGAGAAATGCAAGGCAAGCGATCTCAGATGTACCCCTTATCTTGCCTTATCTTGACAAGAGAACAGTGAACATGATGTCCTTGAGACAGCAGCCTCAGTAATCGTAGACCCAGAGACACCCAAGATGAAATCACATTGTTAAGAAAGGAAAATAGTCAACAGCTAACATGTATGACAGATCATCCCGTGATCACTGGCTTTACTTTTTGGTAACATTTAGCTATCATTCTTCAGTAACTTAAGTAATTCAGGCAGTAATCCACATACATACTTGCAGGATCCCAGATCTAGACCTGGAAAGGTCAGCCCCCCTCCCATTTTATAGTTCATGAAACTGAGGCCTTGGGAGTGGCTTTCCACAGGTTACACAAGTAATAATCATCAGAGGTGGGATTTGACCCCAGAAGACATTTTCTCTTCTTCCCACATAGGAATATATATTTTCCTGTCATCTCTAATTATCAATTCTTTTTGTGATTAATAACAACAATAGTAATAATAATTATTATCATAATCATAGTTCATTTTCGTAGTCTTAGGGTGTGTAAAACATTCTTACAACCCTGTGAAGTAGGTAGTGTATGTTAATACTTGTCTTTTCAATGCCTAACGCTTTCCCTTATGCATAGTAGGTATTCCTGTTTCCCAGATTAGGAAACTGAAACTCTACAAAGTTAATGACTTCCTCACTTTTACAGAATTGCTGAGCATGCAATTTAAATCCAGGTCTCCCGGCCCCACATTCAGCTCTCTAAATGCGACATCACGCTGCCTCTAGGATTATGAGACCACAAAACCTGGATGTCTCCACTCTGAGAATGGTTTCATGTAGGGATCAGCGTTATAACACTTGCTTGGTTGACATCAGATGGCATCTGGCTGCCCTAAAATTAGGGAGGCTTGGCTGACTCAGGAAATACAGATCCTGCTAGAGGAGTCACAGTCTTGGTAAGGTCAATGTAGGGAGCAGTCAACCTATGAACTTGACGTAACAAAAATAATAATAACAAATAAAGGCTAGCATTTACATAGCACTTTAAAGTTTGTAAAACTTTACACAAGTTAACTCATTTGATCTTCACAGCAACACTTTGAGTAGGTATTATTATTGTCCCCATTTTCCAGATCATACTTGATGGAGGTTAAGTGACTTGCCTAGGATCATAACAGCCAGTAAAGGTCTGAGGCAGGATTTGAACTCAGTTTTTCCCCAATCCAAGTCTAGTGCTCTCTCTGTGGTACCACCCAGCTTTCCCCAGGGCCCTTACGGAATTCATCAGTGCCTGTACTCCAAATGCAACAAAGTGCTTTCTAGTACATCTTAATCCTTGTTCTATGAATAATCTCATGGGAGGGACACCTAGGTGGCGCAGTGGATAGAGCACTGGCCCTGAAGTCAGGAGGACCCGAGTTCAAATTCAACCTCAGACCAAACACTTGACACTTACTATAACTGTGTGACCCTGAGCAAGTCACTTAACCCCAATTGCCTTAAAAAAAATCTCATGGGGATCTCTCTGTGAAAGGGAGAGAAGGTCACAAGTCACAAGAACCCATCCTAGCCCTGATGTCTGAATTATCCTTCATCCCAAGTTTACATCTACAGATCCTTAAGAACGATGCTAAAGACAAGCCAGAAGCAAAATATTACTCATTCATTGAGCTTTGTGGCAGCCATAAGTGGGCCTGGCCAGGCCATAGAGAAAGTAAGCTCTCTTGATGAATACAGAGAAGGATGGGAAGACTTACAACTGATACAAAGTGAGGTAAGCAGAGCCAGCAAAAGGGTAATACAAAATGACTATAGCAACACGAGTGGAAAGGACAACTGCCATAAAACATTCAAACAAGACAAGAAAGGTGAGAAGACACCTCCTCCTGCAACTTTGCAGAGGTTCAGGCCCACAGGTGTAGAACTTTGCCATTTGTATCAGATTTTTTTTTTATGCTTCAGTCAGTATTGCTGAATATTTTTCTTTTCATCTTTTTCTTTTTTATTAATTTTTACTAGGGATGACTCTCTGGGAGTGGGAAGGGGGAAAATCTAAGCTATATTAAAAACCAAAAAGTGTATATAAAAATCAATTTTCAAAAAAGAAAGTAAGCAGTCTCAGAACCCCCCAGGCAAAATGGAAGGATTGCAGATACCTGACACTAGCTGTGTGACCCTGGGCAAGTCACTTAACCAGCTCACTTAAACAAGCAAACAAACAAAATGAGAGGATTGAATTCTTAAGGTAAGGCCTGGGAGTGGCAAGAAGATTGGGAATCAGAGGACACAGGTTCTAATCATGGTTCTGGTGGAAGGACTGTGTCAGGACGGATAGTGTACTAGGCTTCTATTCAATAGGACCTTGGATCAAAGCTTACTTGGGATGGTTATATTATCTGTGCAAGCCCGGACAGTTGGCTGAACCTTTCTGTGGCTCAATTTCCTCATTCTGTCATTTGGGGATAATAATAGCTCTTACCTCATAGGGTTGTTGGGAGAATCAGGACAAGATAATGTATGTAAAACAGTGCAAATCTTAAAGTTCTGTGTTGATGTCAACTGGGTAATTATCTGAACTTTCTGAATCTCACTTTCTTCCAAGATAAAATGAAAAGGTCACACTAAGCCATCTCCAAAGTCACTTCATCTCCGTGGTTCCATGCATATTGAATCATTTTTTATGCGCTTGCACAAAACAAATCAGGGACTCTGGCCTAGAACTGAATGGGAGGAAGAGAGCAGGTTGGATTACATTTGGGAAATTGTTCATTGCTTTCAATAATGCTAGTCTTCTCTGGGACACATAAACTCATATTTTTTAACACCCCTATTCTTTCAGTAATGCTGCTTGGCTGCCAATCATGGAACACCAAAATCCATAAAAAATTAAAATAGCAGTCGACTTGATCAAAGGGCACTAAAGGGACACTTAGTGGGTATAAATGAGCTACAATAAGTTGCCAGCAATATTATGCACACAAGAAGTAGCATCACAGATACCCAGGAAATGAAGAGAGCCAGATTTGTAATGAGAGGACCTGAGTTCAAGTTGTAACTCAGTTTCATCTCTTTGAACATAGGCAAGGCACTTAACTTCTCTTGGCTTCATTTTCTTCATCTGTAAAATTAGGTGTTTGATTTGGATCACCTAAGGCCCCTTCCAGCTCTAATTCTACAATCCTGTAATTTCAGTGGGGAAAAAAAATAACAAGATCACATTGTAAAACCAGAGGATATAAAGCAGATGAACAGCCTGAATGTTGTACTAAGATTCACATAATGTTAAGAGTCCTAGAGCAGAGGCTCCCAACATCTAAGGGGCTTAAGAAACAGAACAAGCTAAGTGATTATGTGATTCTATTGAAATCTTTCAATGGTGGTAGTATGCCTGAAAAATTTTGTGTTTTGGAGAGGGAAGGGTGGGCAGTGAGGAAAGAGAGGAGAGTGTTTCAGTGCATCTGAAAAATTTGAATGAGACATTTGAAGGAATAATCCCTCTTGGCCAAAACTAAGTGAGGTTTGACTTTGAAACCTTTTTCATTTTGAGCTGGAAAAAGTCAATGACAATGATCCAGTGAAAGACAAGCCAAGTGTAATTCTTAGAGCAAACTCCAGAAACTGGAGGTACGTGAAGGTTTAGTGAAAGCCCAAGGCGATAAAGAGATTGGAAGTGGTTGGGCACCTCTGATGGCCTTCTGTGTAAGAGATCTGTGGGAGAATATGGACAGGAGTCACACAATAAGGGATTGTGGTCAGCATGGGTGGAAATCGTGCCTAGAGCAGTGAGATGAAATCTATTTTAATATTGTCACCCCATTAGTTTATAAGCTTCTTGAGATCAAGAATTTTCTTTTGCATCTTTTTTTTTTCCATGCCTGGCACATAGTAGGTGCTTAACAAATATTTGTTGATGTCTTGATCAATCCAAATTGAAACATTAAAATATTAGCTCCAAGAAGTACACCAAGTGTTTGAAGTAACATAAGTTTTTGCTGTTTGTGGTGTTTTCAATAAAGACTTGAAGAGATTATTCAGAATCCGCCATTTGAACAAGTTACTGAATTTTTGTTGCCCAAACATCTGGTTTAACAGCTGGTAGACCGAGTGCTTTGCATTGAATTTAGAAAATTGAAAGTAACATAACTTTCTCTGTGTTTGTATGCAGCTATTATATATGTGTCCCTTTATGGGTGTGAATTTGATTCTTACTGCATTATTTCAGAAATAAAAATGATTTTTGGTCTGACAAGCTCATTACAAACTGATTCCTGAATTCCTTCTCCCTCTTTTTTTTTTTTTTTACAGCTGGGATCATCGTCTTCTGTGCCTTTTACCTCGATATTTTCCCAGCTCTCTGTGACTGTTGTTGTCCCTCTCATTATTGGCCAGGTGAGTTCCACCCTCCTATACCCAGCCTTCTGGCAAGAGAGATGAATAAACGGGAAGGGAGAGGAGTAAGTGTGTATATACATAGTGCCTACTATGTTCCAGGCACTGTGGTAAGCACTTTTTACAAATATTATCACATTTGATCCTTGAAATGGAATTTCAAGAGTGAGAAAAGTCTCAGAACCTAGTAGTAGTTACTTCTTGAATCTTTAGTCATCACATTATCCTTGCCCTTTATCTATTTCTATCACTTTTACAATGAAAGGCAGTACAATATAGTGGAGAGGGGACCTACACTGTAGTCAGGAAAGTCTACCCCTGACATCTACTAGTTCTGTTATCCTGGGCAAGTCACTTGCGGTGCCGCCAGGCTGTTCTCTAAAACCAGAAGCTACAGACAAGTTGCCTGTTTATATTAGTATGGGGCGTTCCCAAGTTGGGGACTCCCCACACAGATCACAGGATCATAGAAGCCATCTAGTTCATCACACTCATTTTGTGGGTGGGAAAACTGAGGTTGATGGAAATTAAGCGTCTTGCCCAAAGTCAGAAAGTTGAAAGCAAAGGTCTGGACAAAGGGAGGGAAAATCATTCTTGTACACATGAGTGATGGTAGAGCCATCCTATGATATGTATGGACTACTGAATGTTGAGTTTATTCTAGCCTCTCTGTAGCTTGCTTGAAAACAAATGGGAAACAACTAGCATACAGTGCTGTTTAGGAAATAATATCCACAAAATCAATTCCTAGGAAGACCTGGATATTGGACCCAAAGGTCAGTCTTAATGATGGTGCGTACATTGTTAGAACCAATTCTCTGTCATTTTACTTTCACCTTTATGTACTTTTCTGGAAGTTTATGATTACTTATGGATCTTGATAGGAACTGGGCCTGTGGGCCTGTGATTTCTTTGGTATGAGGAAATTCTGAATGAGGAAACTCCCCTGGTACAGGTTAGCACCTTCCCTGCAACTTGTGGTCTTAGTTGTCTGCAGCACTTAGCAGATGCGTGATTTGCCCAGGTCACGCAGCCAATGTGTGTTAGTAATAGAACTTGGATCCAGGTTGTCTTGTTTTCATTGTAGGCTCTCTATCCACCGAGCTGCGCTGATAATAATGCAGGAATACATCAGGGAGATGTGATTTCCTGCACGTAGAGACTTCTTCCACCCAGGCAGATCCCAGTCCATTTATCCATTATCCATTGGCCCAATCCATTTAGGACATAAGTCTTAGGAAATTGCTAAAACTCACAAGGGTTCAACGGTCTCCACAGAATCATATAGCTATAATGTGCCAAAGGCAAGACTTGAGTCATGTCTTCCCAACTCCACTGCCAGTCCTCAGTCTCCTATGTTGTACCACAACTCAATTGAAAATACTATTTCTTTTAATTCTGTGATTTTCTCCTGATAGGTTTAGGAAGTTTAGAGTTCCTTTTCTACCTTCACTTAAAATAATAGAAAAAAAATCTTCCCTGCTTAACTTCTTATGAGTGATCCACAGTACGTTAATTTGTTTTAACTTTTGTTTTTTCTCATGGAGAAATGTTAGATATTGAGTTCAGAGTGGAATATTGCTGAATCCCTTCTTTGAATTTCATTCTACAGACTGGGAACATCCATGAAAATGAATGTTTTCTTTCCTAATGCAGAGCAGGAGTTAAATTTGATTTGTTACTCAAAGAAAAATATAACTTACTTGTCTCTTAGATTTTAAACATGAAGAAAGGACTGAAACGAAAACAAGGAAGGTTCTATAAGAATAGCTTGTAACCCCGGTGAAATGATGACGGAGGAATTATGAACCTAGCATAATCCTGGGGCCACAACTGCGTAACTGACACTTAAAATAGCATGATAGGTGCACCTAACTGTAGCATAGTTAGATGGGTAGTTGTGGCTGCTTGATTGAAAATCAGACCATATAAGACTTCTCGGAAGAGGATTTTAATGGCATCGTCTGTGATAGCCTCAGATCAAATACAGAGTACATTAATGTTGTCCTCTGGAGGTATAACAAATACAGCTGGCAGTTCATAGCTCCATACTTTGTGTGTTGCAGACAATATCAGTTTAGCACCATATTTATTTTCTTGGTACTAGAAATCAATAATAGATAGTAACTCATAGTTGGTATACATTTTTCTTTATAGGCCTAGGGAATATTTCAGATACCAATGGTATAAATAAGCACATACTTCAGAATGCATGGACGAGTAAAGATTGGGTCAGAGGGGCTAAATTTTTACACAGTTTAATCAGCGTAAGACTCTTGAATTGGTAGAAATGTTGATTATTCCCAATAGCAAGCTGTTGGGAGACTTTTTTCCTATCCATATAATAAGAGGTAAAGTATTTTTTGTGGAGATTGTTTAATGCTTTCTTTAATTTACATCATTCTCACTTCTCAGTAACTTTCCCTACCCAAAGCCTCCTGTGTAATACAGAAGTAAAGCAAACCAATGCATGGCCCATGTCTGATGGTATAGGCTTCGTTTAGTCCCAAGGTCATTATCAGTCATCTAGAGTTGAGATAATTGCCTCCAAGGTCATTGTATCCATCTGATGTCTTGTAGTGTGGTTTTAATTTATGTTATCATGGCCATAAGTAGAGTGTTATCTTCATCCTCCTTATTTTTCTCTACCTCAATTCACACAAGTCTTCTAAATTTCTCTGAATTCCTTATATGTGTCCTTTCTCATGGTGCAAAAATATTCGTTATATTCATATATCCTTATTTATTCAGCCATTCTTCAATCCATCAAATCAATCAAAATTCCCCATTTTGTTTCTTGTGTTATTGTTGTTGTTGGGGGATATTTTTTGTTTTTGTTGCATTGTCATTTTTTTTCTTCTCCCCCATTAGACTGTAAGCTGCTCGAGGGCAAGGTCTATCATTTGCCTGTTTTTGTATCCCCATTGTTAAGCCCAGCTGGCATAGAGTAGGCACTTAATAAATGTTTATTGATTGGTTTTCTTTTGGAAATTTGGTCAGTGATCTTTAACTGAGCTCTTTTCTTTCTTCCATCTTCGAGTCCCTAAGCTCTCTATGAGTTTTAGCTCAGACCCCTTCCTTCTACAGGAAGCTCATGATCTATCCGACCAAAAAAAATTACTTTGTATTTACTTATCTGGGAACATATTCCAACATCCACCTTCCCTCTGGAAGAATATTTGCTACTTGAAGGCAGGCACTGTTTCCTTTTGGGGGTTTTATGCCCCCTGACTGACTACCACAATAACCTTGCACACGGCAAGTTCTTAATAAAAATGTTTGTTGACTGAAATTGAATTTCCAAAGTTCACAGAAAACAGAAACAATGAACACTGCTATAGTATTTCATTTCCTCTTCCAACAGACCTTTTTTTCTCCGTATCTAAATGCTTGTGACAAATTTTTATTTTATACTTTTTATTTAAGAGTGATTTATGATTAAATGTTAATGAAATAGAATTTTCACCCACCTTTCATCATATTCAACGAGCTCAGGCATTTTTCAAAGCAACAGACTTTGAAACCCACTGTTTTCTATGAATAAATAATAAAAAAGTATATCTGTGCATTATTAGTCATTCATTCTCTGGTCTCTCCATTAGCAATTCATTTTCCAGTTTAATGTTGGCACTGCTGCTTTCCTAGTAGACCTCCCTTAACTAAAGTTAAATTAGGAGGTATTAAGTTTGCACCCTCCTGCAACCTCTAGAATTATATCGGTTGTGTAAATGGGAAACTATCCCATTACCTTATATTGTTTCTGGTTAGAGGGAAATATTGGTTACATTATTCAGTAGAATGCATTGAAAAACTGGGTGGTCTAGTGGAAAAGAAAAGAAGAAACTGAGATAGCAGGCAGGAGATATGAGTTCTAATTCCTATCCCTCCACTAAATTCTTAAGACAATCTACTTATGCCATCTATACCTCAGTTTTCCTGTTTGTAACTTGGGACTAATATCTTTCCTCCTAGGGGATTCCTAAGAGGAAAGAAAGAAAGAAAATGGCCCAAATAAATATCACTATGGAAACTTCCAAAGAACAAAGAGAAATTTTTAAATGTAGCAAAAACAAAATCACCCCCAAACAACACCAGCTAAACAAAATCACAGAGATTTTATCCATCAATCAGGAAGCATTTGTTAGGAGGTTGCTGTGTGCTAGGCACTGTTTACTAAGGACTGGGAATACACAAAATAAGAAAAAGTAGACTTTGCCCTTTCTGTAAGACAGAATAGAATGGTAAAATGTTTAAGTGTTCAACAGATGCTAGGTTTCATTAGGTTCTCTGCCATTGACCCAGAGAATGGGTCCCAGAGAGGTTTTCAGCTGGGTGTTGCTTAAGTCACAAAACATGATGAACAGATTAGAACCCATACGTATATTTGATGGGATACTGCAGGGGTGTCAGACTCAAATAGTTAGGGTGGGCTACATATTGACTTAGAAAATCACAAATTAACACTATCTGTGCTTTACTGTATTTTTATTTATTTTGTTAAATATTTCACAATTACATTTTAATCTGATTTTGGTCTTTGGAGTGTTGCGGTCTGTGTGTCTGATATTTCAGGGATACAGAGTGAAAATTATAACGATCTTTGTTCTTGGGGAAAATTACATTTCTTCCTGAAAAGGAAAAGATTAGCAGTAAAATTGCCACCATGCATTCCCATTCAGAAATTCCCATTGTAGATTTTAAAGATAAGAAAGAAGAAAAGGCAGGGATGTGATATAAAAAAATTGACAAACTTAAGAATTGAATATAATTCTTCATAAGGATTCTGGAATTAGAGGTAATGTAGCATAATGAATAGAGTTCTGGGCTTACAGTCAGAAGGACCTAGGTTCAGTGACTAATGTGAAAATAGGTTTAATATGAATGTGTAAGTTGAACCTATATCATACATGCCATCTTGGGGTAGGACAGGGGGAGAGGTGGTGAGAAATTTTGGAACTCAAAATCTTATGGAAGTGAATGTTGAAAACTAAAAATAAATAAATTTATTAAAAAAAATATAAAAAGACCTATGTTCAAACCTGTCACCCTAGACAAGTCACAACTTCTGTGTCCTTCAGGTAATTTCTTAGGACTTAGCTACCAAATTGGGATCTATAATTACCTGGTGGAGGGAGTTTGCTAAGATGATAAGATCACAACTCTTCCTCTTCCCATAATTAGTTTAGGATATCTGAATTCTTTACCAAGATGTGTTATTTAACCCAATTAATGACCTGAGAGATGGTAAATATTTGGGACAGGACCCAGCTCCATGAAAATGCAAAGTAGCAAACCTAAGCTTCCCTATTTGTAGGACCTGCACCCTTCCCAGTTCTTAATTTAAAATAGAAAACTGAAGTATTAAACCAAAGCAATAAGAATTCCTACCATCACCCCATTCTCAACCTTCTTCACTGGGAAAAAAATAAAAGATAATGAAGATTCTGTAATGCTTTAATTTTATTAGTTCATTGAGGATAAATGAATGAGCATAAAGCCTGATAAAAGATAAGGTTGACCTACACCAGAATGTTGTTTTCCCTTCTCAGCATGATGTGTTTTTCTTTTCCTCAAGAGAAAATACTAGGACTTCTATATCCACTGCCTCGAGCAAAATCTTTGCCTCCTTAAGATTTGATAAAAAATCCTAAAGGACAAGGCAGTTCACAAGTTGGGTAAAATTGGCATAATTCCTGTTGCAATGGGGACCTGGATTGAAAGTGTCAGACTCATCGGTCCTAGAAGTACAGGAATTTCATAGGGTCATAGATTTAGAGCCAGACCTTCGAGGTCATCTAGTCCAGCCCCCTAATTTTGTGGATGAGGACACTGAGATTCACTTCAGTGACTCTCTCAAGGACACTCTGAAGATGATAAGTTTCAGAAAGAGGCATGTGTACGCTCCTTTGCCACCCAGTTTCAACAGTGCAGAATTTTTAGTTGCAATATTAAATAAACAAACAAGTAATTTGGGTCCTTTGAAAAGAGCAGACACTTCTGGGAATCGAATGCTTGTTTTAAAAAATCAGATTGAACTTAGCTGCAGACCCCGTCCAGATAGAATATGATAGATTCAGCACCTCGCAGAGTGCCTGGCGCTTAGTAGGTATTTATTGAATGTTTATTGATTGATTAGTCAGTGCTGAGAAAATGCCCAAGATGAGACTCCTGAACAAAGGGAGAGGTTCCAAACATTTTATCCTTCCCCTGTTATGCTTTTTTCACTTGGCATAGCCCTCATCTGAAATATTCCTTTGCAGTAGTTCATTTTTCTATGTCTTTATTGAGTACCAGGGAGACTATAGAATCTAGGATACATTTAAAGGCAAGGTAGTGGATTCAGGGGACAAGAGGGCCCCTTTTCCCTTTCCATCTCCTATAATGGCATATTGTCTACCTTCTCATCAGGCCATTGGTAGTTTGTTATGAAGGCATAGAGTTTTGGCTGTTTAAAGCTATTTTTAATGCTTGTAAATACAATTGGTGGTTATAGAGCAGCTTAGTGGTGGGTTGTCTAGTGCCTACCTGGCAATGATAAAATGCTGAGTTTTCCCTTGTTCCTCTTTGCTTGCATCTTTTTTGGGGTAGGGCTAGAAGAGTGTTGGAGAAGAGGGATTTTATATTTTTGTTTTCTCCAGGAGTGGGGTCGTGTAGACTGTAGAATATTGCAATCGAGGGGTTTCTGTTAGTCGAATGATTTCCTTCAGCATAACCTGCTAGAATATCAAATGGATAACATTAGACAATGCCCTGTATAAAGTGCTAAGCAGACAGTGGGTCGAAGCTTAGTCTCCATCACTACTTACTGGATGTATGACCTTAAGCAAGTCACATTTCTCTGAACTTCAATTTGTTCATCTGTAATAATGGGAAGAGGGGGAGGTTGAGCTAGATGACCTCTAATGTTCCTCCAGGCTCCAAATCTATGGAATAACCTAATTCATTCCCTAGAGAAGTTGATTTTGAATTTATGTTTGACAACTGTCTGCTTGATACTGCCCCATGCAAGTTTATAAAGTGTATCAAAGTATAAAAATGACCTTTGTGAATTCCCCCGCCATCAGGAGACTTCCAGAGAGCCACGACTTTGACCCAAAGTCATGGGCTCTTGCTTTGCCAAGCAATTCCACTGTCCAGGATCAATATTTACACCACCACCCGCCAGAAGAACAAAAACCTAGCCATTTGAAAGTCCACTTTTGGTGAAACTGTTTATATTCTCCATAAGGCTTCACAATGAAGCTCAAGGAGACAAAAAACACAATTATTTTATGCCTTTTATCTATAACAGTAGAGGTTAAGCTAGATTTAAAGTCTTAGAAAATTCTTCATATAATGAATACCATAAGTAAAATGGGAAGATTTGATTTTTTGAGTTTTTCAGCGTGATTTCTCTTAAAAAAAAAAAAGCAAGAGATATTTTATAAAGTCACCTTCAATTTTATTTTGGATTTTCAAGTTGATATCCTTTTTTTAATGCTCTTTTATTTTTATATATACCTTCCATATGGACCCTCCATTACAGTGTTATAATGACACGAATGACCAGTTAGGCAAAAAAAAAAAATTGACAAAACAGTTTACTCCTGTGGTCCCCCATTATTCCACCAAAAGTGAAACATGTTTGAATAGCTGTTTTTATGGGACAGAAATTGGTTATTGCAATTAATTTGAGTTCAGCTGTCCTTCAGTGTTGTCTTCAATTATCATAGTAGATGTCTGTTCATGCTAGTCTCCCAAATTTCTCTGAATTCTTCATTTTTTTTTCAGTTTTTAAGGACTCAGTGACATTCTATTACATTTGTATGCTACAATCTGCTCAGCCTTTCTCTAATTGATGGACACTCATTTTATTTCTTGTTTGGGAACACCATGGAATGTACTACTCTGGATGTATGAGAACTTTCCTTCTGCCATTGACCAATTTGGGGTATATTCCTCAGTAGTAATCTAGGTCAGTGTTTCTCGTATAATTCCAAATTGTCTTACAGAATGGTTTGACTAATTCATACTTCTACCAATGGTGTATAAGTTTGCCTGTCTTCCTACAGCATCTCCAACATTGACTGTCCTCATTTTTTATCATCTTTGCCAATTTAACAGGCACCTTAAATTTCAAAACCTAGGTTATTTCCCGACTTTCTTGAACCGTTGTTCATCTGGTTAATTCGGTGTATACTCCTATGACTAGCTAAATAATAATAATAGTAATAGTAATAATAGCTAGTATTTATATAGCACTTTAAAGTTTGCAAAGCACTTTATATATGTTATCTCATTTGATCTACCTTACAAGGTAGGTGCTATAATTATATACATGAGAAAACTGAGGTTAAAAGTGATTACATGCCTTTGCCCAGGATCACATAACTAGCAAGTGTCTGAGACAAGATTTGAACTTAGTTCTTCCCGACTCCAAGTCAGACGTTCTGTTGATTGTGCCAGCTGACTGCTGTGCTATCTGGTCAGATTCCTTCAAAGCTCCATTTATTGATTGACCATCAGGAAAGGCACCTGTTAGTTCTTGAAGAAGCTTGAAGATGATCCAACTTCCATTAGGTAGAGGGTTATACTGTGAGTCGCAGTTTTCTGTAAAGTGTATTCTACTGTGAATTTAAGTCTTCTTTTTCAAGGCATATTAATGATGCCATATTTAGGAGACAGGAGAACCCCATGGCGGAAGTCAGTGCAGGCTCCCTGACCTCATCATGGCTAATGGATCATGGTAGTACAACCTGCTGTGGCATTTCAGATGCCGGTCACACAGGATAATTGAGTGACAAGTCTCTACTGTAGTACTGTGGATATAGCTTTAAAAGAGTCCAGCTCTCTCCCACCCCCACCCCCCATTAAATGAAAGTTTTAAAGAGAAGTTAACAGATGGTTCTCAAAGCCAGATTCATCTCTACTATTCAGATCCTCCGTGTCACAGCAAGTTCTGAAAATGAAGGTGACTTTTGTCATTAAACTTTCATTTTACAAGACTCTTGCTAAACAACTTCAGATTTCTACTTCTCTTATGGTGAAGTCATGGCAGGTTCGTTCATTTTCAAGTGTTAATTCAGGTATTCTAAGAGCATGCAAATGGCATTTGTCTTTGGATTTACAAAAACTCCAGATATTCAGAGTTTGAATTATTTAAACTCCCACAACACATGCACTTTTTGCTTTTCAAGCATGAGTTATAATTTAATTAAAAACTTCTGGTGCATCGCTGGCTTTTTAAAATATTAATATGTTTCATGGATCACTTTAGATTATGTGCCGTCGTGAAATTCCTAAAGATGTCAGATTTTTAAGATTCCCAAAGACGCACTTGGAATGGTCTGTTGAGGCAAGGGGGACAGTGATAATTGCATCCATCCATTAGGATCAGCAGAGGAGATAAACTTTGGGGAGGCTTAATGGGCATGTCTCAGTGACAGCTAGCAAAGAACATTTGGCATGATTAAGGATGGATTTGAATGCAGTTGAAAATATACTCTCATTATGGACACCCAGTGGAAGTCGCAGTACAAATGTTAAATTCCCCAGAAGAAGAGTTGTGTGGCAAGGAAGCTTTGAAATCCGTTGCGGCCATCATCAAAATTATTCTCTTCCCTTTATGTCTTTCTGCTGTCAGGTTCACTTTGTGATGCCCAGCTTGGCTCCTGAAATCCTCTGAAAAAAGATGCAGACCTGTTGTTTCTCTGTTTCAGATCGTCCGAAGGTACATCAAGGATTGGCTCGAGCGGAAGAAGCCTCCATTTGGGACGATCAGCAGTTGTGTTCTACTCACAATCATCTACACGACCTTCTGTGACACTTTCTCCAATACTAATATCGACATGGATGGCCTCAGCCTTCTCATAATTTTGTTCATAAGTAAGTTTGGTACTCCCTCCCCCATCAGCACCACCTCCTAGCTCAGTTTTTAGGGGGATAGCAAATGGCAGTCTTTTCAATCTGAGTTCACTGGCGATGTTAACTCAGTTAGCTAAGATTCCTGCAGACTACTGCATGTTCATAACTTCAGAATGAACAGCTGCTCTCTAATAAAAGCATACCATTTGTCATTCACGGGGCCCTTTGTCTTTTAAATGGTATCTGCAGGTTAAGCAGAGACAGCTTTCTAACCCAAGTGACCATCTTGTAGCGATCAAAGGTGGCCAAGGCCAGGGCTAGGTGAATAGCATTTGTAAAGTTCAGCCCGAAGCGGAGCGCTGGGTCATGGAAATAGGGAGAGTCAGCCGACTGTGATGAGTGGGTAGAGTACTGGGCCACAAGGCAGAAGACCTAAGTACACCAGCTACTGTCACTGTCGCTAACTTAAGACTGAGGCAAGACAACCTCTCCCAGCCTCGCTTTAAAATGGAAATTGGAGTCAAAAATATTTCACTGGGTCGTTCTGAGGGATGTTTATCCTGGAGAAGACTCATGAGGAACATGGTGGCTGTCTTCAAGTGTTTGAAGGCTGTCGTGAGGAAAGGGGATGGGACCTATTCAGCTTATTCCCAGGTGACAAAAATAGAGTCAATGGATCAAGAAGAGGAAACCTTTCAATAGAGCTCTCTGTAAATGTCAGCTGTGACTGTTTTATTACCACTGACTAACTTCCACCCAAGGTTTTCTCCTTCCAGCCATGGAGGTGACCCTGAGTTCTTGAAGGCTGTATCAATAGAGTGCAAGCTTAAGGCAGAACCTATGAAAGCTAAGGCACTGGATGTGAACCCAGCATTGCCATCTTGGCTGCACTAAGAGAGGTGTAGCTTCTAGATATGAAGAGCTGATGATCACATTCCGTGAGGCCTCCTCAGGCTTCAGCTGGAACATTGAGTCCCATTTTGGCGACCGTGTTTAAGGAGGACATTGATAAGCTGGCGAGTGTCCAGAGAAGGGCAGCCAGAGTGGTGATTGCCTTAAACTCGTGACATGTGAGGATTGGCTGAAGGAATTGGGGATGTTTATCGTGAGACAAACAGGTTAAATAACTTGCCAGCTGGTAAGTGTCTGAGGCTAGATTTGAACTTGGGTCTTCCTGACTTCAGGCCCTGGGCTCTATTCACTGTGCCACCTGGCTGCCTTAACAGGGCTGGATTCCTCTTCCTTGGAGGTCTGAAGTGGAGCCTGGACAGCCACCTGTCGGAGGTTAACAGTGGTGATTCCTGTCCAGTTTGGGCTGGACGAGATGGCAGCTGAAGCTCCTTCCAGATCTCAGGTTCTGTGATTCTCTGAACGTGCATCTGCGTTCTGTGGACCAGCCCAGCTAATGGCAGGAGATGTATCAGCTGCAGGTTGGCCACTGGCAGATGATGGATTTTTTTTAAAGCCACGCATGACAATGCACAGCAGACAATTGAATAATCACAATTTAAATCTGGAAGCCATCTCTGAGATTGTCTAATCCAACCGTCTTATTTGACAAGTTAAGAACCTGGACCCCGGAAGAGTTAAATGGCTTACCCATGAGCACACACAGAGTAAGCCTTGGCCTTCTGACTCCAAAGCCTGACTCTCTCTGCTGCCTCACAGCTGCCTGTCAGCCTCCCAAGCCAAAGGCATGTATAAGCTGTTAGCACTAATACATCTTCAATCATTATGATGCTAATTCATATTTTTCTTTTCTTTTTCAGTATTTTCTGTTCAGCTGAGCTTTATGTTTTTAACATTCTTCTTTTCCACAAGGTATGTGAGTTGGTTTCTGATGTTTGTCCCTTTTTTCAGGAAGGTGGGGCTCAGAACCTCTGGAAAGGGTTGTCATTTCTAGAGACATGGCAGAGAGCTGCCTCACTCTTCCTCTGTCCCCACCCTCCAGCCCCTCTGTCCCCTTACAGCTTGGCAGGCCGTGCTGAGCTTGTAACCCTAGGTTTTCTCTCTTCCTTGGTGATGTGAGGAATAGGAGTCATGGGGGCATCGGTAGGAGTCATGGACCCAAAGAATGTGAGGTGTGAGCCTGTGATGCTCTGGGGATACTTCCAAATGCAAGTGTGCCCAATTATAAAAAGTAAATGAGTAAAAAAAAATAAGGATTTATAAAACAGATAGACTAATGCATGGTTTTATGATTTACAAAAGGATTCTTTACTTTGCAAATTAATCAATCAATAGGTATTTATAAAGTGCTTGCTATGTGCCAAGTATTGGGCCAGGTGCTGGGGAACAAAAACAAAAGGAGAACCCTTTCCCTCTTTACAGCCACTTCTCAGATTCCCTGATTTCCTTTAAGACACAGCTCAGATCACACCTTCTTCAAAGGCCTCCCTCTCTCAGCCTCTAGCTTCCAGAGAAGGATACTTTCCGTCCACTCTGTTTGTATCTTTCATGTGCCTGTTTATAAACATTCTAGCATCCACAGGGCAACGCCTCGAATCACAGTTCTGTGTGCTTCATGCCTTGTTAAGAGAAAACCTGAATTCCAGAAAATGAGCGTGGCAACAAGGACCGAGCAAAATGCCTTGTAAGACCCACTACGTCATCCCAACTTTGATGTGAAGAACAAGGCTAATCCCTGATCCGTGCAACACTGAAGATGGCCAGCGTGGCCCTGCATCTTGTCTTCAGGCTAAGCATCTCCCATCAGAGTATAAGCTCCTTGAGGGCAGGAACTGTTTTTACCTTTCTTTGTATCCCCAGAACTTAGAACAGTGCCTAGCAGTATAAATCTTTGTTGATTGATTGATTGACTAAAACAGTCTCTGACCTGAAGGTGTTTACCTTCTAATAAGAGAAACATCTGAAGTATATTTAAACCAGACATAAAATAAATGCAAGGTAGTTTGGGGAAGAAGAACACTAATAGGAACAGCAAAGTGTCTTTAAATAGTGAGCTTTTCTAATGCATTTAAAATAAGATTCACTTAACACCGAACTTCTAAGAATACATCTGTGGAATAATACAAGTTCCGTGCGTATTCATTCAACAAACATTGATTGATGGCCTGGAATGTCCAAGGCATGTGCCAGATACCACAAGGAGTGCAAAGAAATAGGCTTGCTTTTCCTAGCGCTCTCTCCCTGCCCCTCTCTGTTGGCCGCGTCACACACTCTGCGTTGTATTACCCCCATCTGAGTACGTGGCCTGTCCTTCAGGACACTTGCAAGCCTGTCGAGGGCAGGTGCCCAGTCATTTTCCATCTTTGTAACCCCCAGTCTAGCACATGGTAAGGCCTTAGTAAGCATTTACCAAATGGAATTGTTTGTTATGAAAGACCTGGGCGGGGGGGGGGGGGGTTAATGATAAGCTGTGGTCCCTGTTTGCCAGAGGATAATGAATGAATAAGAAAGCACGTATTAAGCATTGACGATGTACCTGGTGCAGTGCTAAGCTCAAGGGTTCTCAGCACTAGAAAGCAAGACAGCTCCTGCCCTCAAGAAGCTTATGTTCTAAAAAGGGAAGACAACAACACGTAAAGGAAAACTTTATAGTGGGAATAGCTAGGAAGTGGCTTGGAGGCCTAGACTCAGCCGCAGCAAAGTACGAACTCCCCTCTCAGAGCCCAGGCTGCTTCCAGGGGCAGAGTCCAACAGTCTGGTGGAGGGGAAATGAGAGGAGGTTGTGGACAATGGCCCAAGAGGCATACTTGGAAATGGCCAGCAAGTGCTCCAATTAGGATGATGTAGTGGATCTTACAAGAGATTTTCCTTCGTCCTTGTTGCCCCACTTATTTTCTGGAATTCACATTTTCTCTTAAGGCATGAAAGCACAGAAAACTGTGATTCAAGGCAGTTCCCTATGGATGACCAACAGTCAGAGGTTAGGCAAAGGAAGGCATACTTCCAAGTAAGGAGACTCAGAAAATCGACTTGAAGAGAGGGTTTGCTCTGAACCCAGAAAGGTTGGTAGTATTTCAGAAAGCAGAGATGGGGTAGAGAAAGAAAACCAGTATAAACACTATCTTAAATTTTGATGGAGTTTACAAAGCTCTCTGAAGATACAGGCCTCGTAACAGCCCTGTGAGATAGGTAGTAGAAGTATTATCATATCCCCATTTGAGATGAGGAAACCAAGGCCCCCAGCAGATATGTTGCATTTCTAGGACTCAAACTTGGGCCCTCTGCTCTTAGCTCTGCCCTCTGGGGCCAGGAAGAGCAAGGCATATGGCAGCCTTATCCATATGGTAGCCCTACCTGAAGGTGGCTGGCATATCCCTGCTAAGTGTTCTCATCTCCAAGCTCCATCAGCCCCACCAAGGCCCTTTCCTCATCACCTTGGTTGGCCTCTTCTGGATGTGCTCCAGCTTATTAACCTCCCTCCTAAAATGTGGCCCCCAGAAACGAGTGCAATAGTCCAGATGTGGCCTGACCGGGGCAGAGTCGAAGGGGAAAGTCGCTTCCCTCTTCCTGGACTCCATGCTTCTCTTAACACCTGCAGTTTTAGTGGGATATTTTGACTGATATAATGGATTGTTGCCTCACTTTGAACTTGCAATCCATTAAGACTCCCCAAACTTAGAGAAATTATTGTCTGAAAAAGATAAAGGGAAGTTTTCTGAGCTAATACTAGAAAGACTAGACTGGAACCAGATCATGGGGGCCTTGAGTGTCAAACTAAGCACTTGTCCAACTCTCAGTTAATTCAAGGACATCTTCCTTGCTGACATACCTGAGGGTATGAAATAATTTCAGGTCATGGCCCATACCAGCCTGTTGGCTCTTTGAGCACTTATTTAGGAACTGAACTAACAGTAACAACAACTACCACCATTTATAGAGCTAAGTCACTAAGCCATTTAGATCAGCCTATTCTTTCCACAGGAATACATCAAAGTTTTGTAATTTCATAAGATCAGGAAATTCCTAGTGTGTGACTCCCATCCACCTATGTAGATCACAAACTGTCCATGATTTGAGAGATAGATTCCTCTCCTAGGCTCACAGAGGTAGCAATGAAGGATTTGAACCCAGGTCTTCCTGGCTCTAAGCCTAGCACCCTGTCTTCCTGAACTCAAATCTGGCCTCAGACACTTACTAGATGTGTGACCCTGGCCAAGTCACTTAACCCTGATTGCCTCTAAAAAACAACCCACCCACCCCCCCCAAAAATAAAAAATCAATTAATTAATTAGTTGAAGGGTTTATACTAGATGACCTCTAGGTTCTTTTCTAGCTCTAGAGATGATGAAACTAAGTCGCAGTGTTGTTTTAAGGTCACGTTGGTAATTTATGGCAGAGTAAAAAGCAAAACCCAAGGCACTTGGCTCACATTCGACTTTTTGCTAGAGAGACTTGATGCCTCCACATGGCCCCTGAACTCTCCCTGCCAGCCTTGAGACTCTGTAATTGTGAGTCTGTGGGCAAAAAATGAATGAAAATGAAGGAAGTGTGAAGGAAAATATGGGAGAACATTCTACATGGGAGTGAAAACATAGGACATGTATGTCTTTGAGAACACAGCGGAGAAAGACGAAACAGATCATGGAAAGAAAGTCCTAATTCAGAAATTCAAAATATGAAGGGGAAAAGGCATAGGACAGAAAAAGAAAGAGAGAAGAAAGAAAAGGAAAATATCCACTTGATCCAAAGGACTGGTTCTAAAGTAATGATAAAAAGGCAACATTAGATCAAGTTAGAGAAAAAGAGCCATTCAACAATTAGTTTCAAGGGGAGAATGTGGATGGAAATTGACCAGAAGAAATGTTAACACCTAGAAACAATGATTATTTTGCTATTAATAATGTGGTGGGGTGTTTGAAAATGTTATGGTACTTGGTTCTTCTTGTTGTTGGCATGTTCAATCAGTCAACAGACATTTATCGAGCACTGATTATGTGCCAGTCTCTTTGCTAAGTATGGGGGATAAAGAGAATGGCAAAAACCAGTCTCTGTCTTCAAGGGACTCACATTCTAATGGAGGAAACACCACACCAAAAAAATGGCACATACAAAATAGATACAGCATAAATAAATCTAAGAGATAAGTCCTGGCAGTGGGGGAGATTGAGGAAATGTCTCTTGCAAAAGGTAGGATTTGAACTGAATCTTGAAGGAAGCCAGGAGGCAGAGTGAGGGGGGAGATTATTCCAGGCATGGGGAACGGGCGTGGGAATGATCATTCTCCACCATGGTCTTAGTCAGAAGACCATAGAATTTAGAGGTGGAAGGGACCTCAGAGGTCAACTAGTTCAACCTTCTCATTGTACAAAGGAGAAAACTAAGGAAGGAGAAATGACTTAACTTAAGGTGATGCGGGTACTAAGTAGCAGGTCTCCTAGCCAGTTAAATGAATTTCTGTAGCTGTTGCTGCTGCTGTTTTTCCTTCATTCTCGAAGAGGACCATGACATCAGGGAGGGGATGTCATGACATGCGAGTGAATTGGGTTTAAGTGAGGAAGGTCAGTGCAAAGTCACCAGCCTCACTTTCTCCTCCGGAGCCATCTGGGTCCAGTGGCCAGCTGTAGATCAGGATGACTGAAGATGGCCCAGGATGCAGTATGCTTACTATGAGAGAACATGGAGTGGTGGGCAGTGCTGGAATTTGAGAAGAAGAACCTGGATTCATATCCTACCCCTGATACCTGACTGTGTGACTGGGCAAATCCCTTTTGTTTTGTGCCTCATACATATCTCCAAGACTCAGTTACTAAATCAAAGATGAATCGTAATTTGCATTGGTAGAGGGCTTTTTCTTTGTTTCTTTCTTTCTTTCTTTTTATTTATTTTTTTTTAAGGCAATTAGGGTTAAGTGACTTGCCCAGGGTCACACAGCTAGTAAGTGTCATGTGTTTGGTCTGAGGCCAGATTTGAACTCAGGTCCTCCTGACTTTAGGGCCGGTGCTCTATCCACTGTGCCACCTAGCTGTCCCTGGTAGAGGGCTTTTTAAAGGGCATATATAAGTGGGCCTCAATGTAGGGAAAGGTGTTTCTTTGATTTGTGTTGAATGGTGGTGGGATTTTGTTTTTTGCTTTTAATTTTTAAATATTGATTTATGTACGGCCCTCACTGGGTCCCTCCATCTTCACAAGCTATTATACTATAGCTTTCCTTCCCTTTTAAGCTAAATTCCTTAAGAATGACATCTGTACTAGCTGCCTCCACTTCTTGTCCTCATTCTCTTCTGAATCTTCTTCAGTCTGGCTTCTCATCTCATCACTCAACTGATACCGCCCTCTCCAAAGTGATCTCTTCATTGCCACATCAAATGGCCTTTTTTTCATTTCTCATCCTTTCTGACTTCTCTGCAGTCTTTGACCCTGTTGATCACCCTCTTTTCTTGGCTCCTTTGTCTTTTCTCGGTTCTCGTGATCCTGGCCTGGTACTCGTTCTGACTGTGTAACTGCACTGTCCCATGGGTCTTCATCTTCATCCATGTCATACCTGCTACCTGTAAGTGTCTCCCAGTGCCCTGTCCTGGTCTTCTTCTCTTCTCCCTCTGTACTGTCTCACTTGGCGATCTCATCACCTCCTAAGTGTTCAGTTATCGTCTCTGCAGATGATTTCCAAATCTATATATTCACCCCTAATCTCTTCCTGAGCTCTAGTCCCATCACCCGCTGCCTTTTGGACATCTTCAACTAGATGTCTTCTTGTTGTAAAGTCACTTTTCAGTCATGTCCAACTCTCTGTGACCCCATTTGGAGTGTTCTTGGCAAAGACACTGGAGGGGTTTGCCATTTCCTTCTCCCACTCATTTGACAGATGAAGAAACTGAGGCAAACAGGGTTAAGTGACTGGCCCAGGGTCACACAGATAGCAAATGTCTGAGGCCAGATTTGAACTCAGAAAGATGAGTCTTCCTGATTCTAAGCCCAGAACTCTATCCACTGCATCATCTAGCTGACCCATGATGTCCTGTAGGCATCTCAAACTCAACATGTCCAAACTAATGTCATTATTTTTCTCTCAAACCCACCTTTCTTCCTAACTTACCTATTACTGTTGAGGGAACTACCATTTTCACAGTTACTCAGGCCTATAACCTCAATGTCATCCTCAACTCCTCACTCTCACTCAACTCATATCTAAAGGTTAAATGTTACTTCTTCCTTCACACTTTCTCTCCTTTACGTCCCCTTATCTCCATTTACACAGCAACCACCCAATAACCTTCCAATTGGTCTCCTCACTCCTTACTCCAATCCCCCTCAGATATCAAAGTGATCTTCCTAAAGCTTAGACATGGTCATTACACACATACACTGTCTTTCCACCCCATTAAACTCCAGTGGTTTCCTCTGACCCTTCATATCAAATATAAAACCCTTTATTTGACATTTAAAACCCTTCACAACCTTGCCCCTTCCTACCTTTCAGTTTTTTTACATCTACTCCCCTTTGCTTCTCCATGCACACAGCACTCCATCTCTTGACCCCATGCCTTTGCACTGGCTCTCCCCCTGCCTGATATGCTCCCCGACCTCACCTTCAGACCTTTTCTTTCCTGGCTCCCTTCAAGAGTTGGCTCAAATCCTGCTTGTAGCAGGAGGTCACCCTTGTTGCCTCTGAGGTTATGTTTTCCATGTACTCTGTATATATCTTAAATGTGCATGGCTGTTTCAAAGCTCCTTGAGGGCAAGGACAGTGTTTTTGCCTGTCCCATAGTAAGCACTTAATTGACAAAGTCCATCTTATCTCTTTCTAATGTTGATTTTCACAGCCTCTTCTAAACTGACTATATAATAGCAACAAGAAAATTCTTTGCCTTCAAGTTTCTGCCTCAGAGTGGTCTGTGTAACACAAAGGAAAGCGGATGAATAGTGATGGACAAATACAGAGTATCCCAAAAATCTTAGTGAAATTTGAAGTTTTAGTCACTTATACTTCTTAGGACTAAACATTTTTTGGGACATCTTGTATATGAATGGTTCAGTCCTAAGCATGACTTTTTGTCTTTTTGTCTGGTTAATTCTAATTTGAAGCTCATGACCTTGACTGAATTATCATACCATATCATCTAACCTCTCTGAGCCTCAGTTTCTTCAACTGTACAGTTACTTCAGACAAAGAGTCCTCTCAGATCCCTTCTATCTCAAAAAATTCAGTATCCCCCTGATCATCCATTTCCCCATGGACACGATAAGGATCAGATGTGACAAGGTAAAACACCTTATAAACTGTAAAGCACTATAAAAGTATGAGGTACTATGGGTAGTGGTGTTATCATAGCTGGCATTTGATAAGGCATCATTCTGTACAACAAGGTAATAACAATAGTAGCCTTCATGTAGGACTTCCAGTTTGGTAGAGTGCTTAATATTTCCTGTTTGATCTTTCTAGCCCTCTGAGTTTGCACTCGTAGTATGATTATTTTCACTATGTGTATGAAAGTATTGAGACCAGGAGAGATGAGTAACTTGGCAATGCTTAGAGAGCTGGTATCAGAGGGAAGGCCTGAGCCCATTTCTTCCTGATTCCAAGCCCATCACTGTCCATTACCCAACACTTGTTTGCATATCCCTTTAAGGAGTCAATAATTTGGCACTGCTGTTATTATCCTCATTTTACAGTTTAGGAAACTGAGGCAAACAGAGGTTGAGTGACTTGTCCAGGGTCACAAGGCTAATGAGGATCTGAGGCCATATTTGAAGTCGGGTCTTCCTGACTCTAAGCCCAGCACTCTATCCACTGCACCACTAACTGCCTTTATGGATAGGATTCTCTCCTTTAAAAAAAAAAAAGTTACACAGTGCTTCACATTTCCACTTGGGATGCCTTCTGTCACTAAAATTGGGCTAAATGACAATGACATAAAAGTGGGTACTCCTACTGGGATGTTTGACCTAGAATGTGTTAGTTAAGTAAGCTTTGAATAAAAGTGTTAGTAATGTGTGGTGTTTTTTTCTTTCTTCTCGCCCCTAGGAATAATTTGGGTTTCACACCAGCAGACACTGTTGCTATTATTTTCTGCTCCACACACAAATCCCTCACGTTGGGTAAGTAAATTGGAGCTCTAAGGAACAATATTTAATGTAAGCCTTGTCTACAAACCCTCATTTATTTGGAATTCAAAGGGTCAGAGGGCCATTTGGGAGGACCTCGGGATCGTCCACTGTCCTGTTTAAAGAACGATGGTATGTCCAGCCTACTGAGAAACAGAAGTTGTAGAAGATATGTTTTAACTAAAGTAGTATCCGTTTGGCCAAATATTCTGCCCTTATAACCCAGTGAATGCAAGTGACTTCCTCGTGGAGATTGTAAGCACCATGAGGGCAGGACTGTTTTTTGCCTGTCTTGGGGGGAGGGGCAGGGCCAGAGATTGTGTGTAGGTCGGAAGATCTACCTGTAAGTGCTTCGACAGGTAGATCAAGCATTTACTAAACACTTATATATGTATAGAGAGTTGAAGTGTTTAGATAAGTACTAACCCTCTTTATTTTATAGATGAAGAAAGTGAAAACCAGAACTAGGAAGTGATTTGTTCATAGTGCATTTTACTGTGGGTGGGGGTTAGAAATGCCACAAAATGACTAAGATGCCAAAAGGCATCAGTAAAACTTCCTTTTTAAAAAAATGTCCTTCTTGAGTGGCACACTACCATGGAATCATGACTATTCTCTGAATGCCCAGTGACCCAAACCCAAACATCTCCCTCCCAAAACCATGTTCCTCAGCTTCAGCCTTAGCTGCCACCTGAAAAATAATTTTTGGAAACCAGATGAGAGGGGGAGGATTGTTTTATTTTTGACTTTGTTGCTAGAAAGAATTGGGCTTACTGGAGTTTGAGTTTATATTTGAAATACGCACCATTGCTGATTCAGAATCAGACCGCTAGTACAGTGTCTAAGAAGTTTTGTAGTAAAACTCTCCAAGGCTTATGGAATACAACCTGAGTCACTTTCCCTTAGGGTACATGGATTTACTAGCTGTCAGTCCCGTAAGTACCGTGATAGCTGCTGTCCACAGCCACCCTCCCTCCAGGCATTCTCCACCCCCACTCTAGTCACCACGACAACCTGGATCTGTACCCCTTGGGCAGATAGAAAAAACAAGAGCTTTGTCTCAAGAGCATCCTTATTTCCACCTGGAAAAGGAAAAGATTGGTCCTTGACTGAACCTCACAAAAGCTTTGTGATTTACAATGTCAGCTCATACTAGGTCCAATCCATGCTCCGCATACCAGCTGAGGCAGAAATTATTGGTGAGGAGGATGCCGTGCTAATCACAATGCCTGGAGCCTAGTAATTATTCTGTTAGAGGCTTTGTCTGCATGGAAATTACAGGACAATACAATAAGTACGTAGGACTCAAATTCCAGAAAACGGGCTGCCAACCTCAAATAAGATTAGTCATGTTTGCCCTTCTTGTCTTCCCACAAATACCAGGGATCAGAGCGTTCAGTTTTTATAGGAGAGAAGTTGGCCCAACCCAGTAGAAACTAGCATTGAGGACAGGATGGCTCATGGACCATAAAAGAAACACACAGCCCTGCTCTGCATTACCCTTTCACCACTACTTTCTTCACATCAGGCTGAGGAGATCCATACGATTTTTTATTTGCTTTAAAACAGCAGCAAAAGAGGCAGCTAGGTGGCGCAGTGGATGGAGCATCGGCCCTGGATTCAGGAGAACCTGAGTTCAAATCCGGCCTCAGACACATAACAATTACTAGCTGTGTGACCCTGGGCAAGTCACTTAACCCCATTGCCTAACAAAAAAAAAAAAAGAAAAAAAAACAGCAGCAAAAGAAAGACAACCTGGCGTAGAGGGAAGAACACTAAATGCAGAGTCAGGAGATCTGGATTCTAGTTAGGCTTTTGTCATTACTAAGCTGCATGTCCAAGGAAGGATAGAAGGAAGGAAAGGGTAAAGGAAGGAAGGAAGGAAAGAGGAAGGAAGGAAAGGAAGGAAGAGAAAGAGGATAGAAGAAAAAGGGAGGGAAGATGGAAGAAAGGAATATTTATTAAGTACTATGTGCCAAGCACTGTGCTAAATGCTATAGTACAAGTGAAAAAAATAAGACAATCCCTGATCTCAAGGAGCCCCCATCCTGATGGAGTAAAGAACACGTAGGAGATTTCAGCTGCTGGTCGTGTGGAAAAGTCCCATGGTCCTTGGGGTACAACCACAAAATAGATAATACTGCTTATTCTTTAATGTCATTTCTACTATATAATCATATTCATTTCTAATGTCAAACCTTTTGACAGTGCCAAGGACTTTGGTGACAAGAACTTTGTTTTCCGGGTCTTCAGTAGCCGTGGCTGCCAAGGAGGCAGGGCCTCTAGCATCTGTAGCAGCATTTGCCAGATCACATCTCCCTGGGGATTGCTTCCCGGGGTAGTAGTTACAAGAGCTGGGCTGTTGAGGGCCTGCTGCTTCCAGGGTTCTTGGACCTACCTGCCTCGTGGTTTTGGCAAGGAGAGTGAATCCTTTCTTCACAGTGATTGTTTCTGTCTAGGATGCCAGGATGCAGGGACAGTAACCTTTGGAGCTCTGATTTTCCAAAGCTCTTGGGCTGTCTCCATTAGAAGAGAAGAAACTGTTTCTTATCCAAACTTTGTATCTCTCCTAGTGCCCAGTGTAGTATTCTGCCTTTCATAGCCCAGAGCTCCAGAGAATCTGGGATCTCCCCCATGTGGGCATTCTCTCCGGTAATCAGATCCCTCACCCATCCGTGCCTACCTGTGCTGTGCATCTCCTATCCATGTTCTCCCATCAGTCCACAGAGAGCCCACTCAGAGTGCTGGGGGAGAGGGGGCCTCTTGTGAGTTCTCTCCGCATTTCGTAGGTGTGTGTTTGTTGTGGTTCATCCCTCTGGGTCTCAGTTTTCTCATCTGTTCAAATGAAAGGGTCAGGTTCCGTTAGATGATCTCTGAAGTTTCTTCAAGCTCTCAGGTTTCATGGTTCTCACCAGACTTCAGTTTTGCCAGTGTGGGATCTCCTTCCACTCACCTGTTTATAATTTAGTACGTAAATATTAGGGAGATGTCTGAGACTCAGAAGTCAAGTGACTAACTTAACTTATAGAGAGCTAGTAGGTGTCAGAGACAACATTTGAACCCAGATCTTCCTGACTTTATATCTAGCATTGTATGCACTGTTGCCTCTGATTTTACCAGAGAATAAAATTAGTAATAATAATAATGAGCATACATACATACATATATATACACATACACACACACACACACACAGAGAAAGCTTTAAGGTTTGTAAACCACTTTACGTATGTCATCTCATTTTATCTGCACGCCATTTTACAAATGAGGAAACTGAGGCAGACAGTTTAAATGACTTGTTCAAGCTAGTAAGTATCTGAGGCAGGATTTGAACTCAAGTCTTACTAACCACAGATCCAGCACTCTTATGAGTTGCACCACTTAACTACCTTCTTGCAACTTTTTTTTTTAAGAAAGGGGCAGCTAACAAATCTTCCTTTCAATCCAAAGTCAGTAGAAGAAAAAACTTTGGGGGATCAAAAATGTGACAAATTCGAGCTTCAAAAAGCTTTTGTCTTTCTCCCCTCCCCTTGCCTCCAAATTAGCATTTCCTACAGTGTATGTGTAAATTTGGAAGTCCTTCCATGAATGGGACACACCAATGGTAGCCTTATGATAACATGAACCAAGCTTGTTTCATTTCAATTCAATAATCACCTGTCATGTGCCATGCAGTGTGCTAAGTGCTGGGGGGGAGCGGGAAACAAAATTGGAACAAGGAGCTTACATTCTGTTGAGGGAAACAACTGATATGGAAATAAGTGAATACAAAATGGTGGTGGGCTGGACAGCACTAAGCACTGTGGACATCAGCAGAGGAAGAGTTGATACTGCTTTGCTTTGAGGGGATCTAGGGAATCTTTGGGACGGGTTGGAGAGTTCATTCTAGGCATGAGGAGATAGATGGTGGTAAAAGCAAAGGAGATGGAATGTTATGTGTGAGGCCAATTTGGATGGAACTCAGAATGTAGATGGGGGAGTTGATACTGGATTTGTACTCTAGAATAACTCACTGTAGGTCCGCCAGCTCCCATCCAGTTGGTTCATTCAGCTAATGACCTAAACAAGTAAATTCTTGCCTAAGAACTACCCCCCAGCTTTGATACCACACATCTATCCCCAGTGTATTCTGCCAGCCAAGATTCTAGCTGGTCTGTCTCCCCCACATGTGTGTACCCTGCTTACATGTAACACATCCACACACATGCAGCCCCTCCTTGATTCATTGCTTTTATTAGTGCATTTGCCATTGATTGATTAGTTCCTGGTATTAGGACTTTGTCTATTGATGGATTGCAGATGAAGTGACTATTTGACCTTTAATTAGGAGGCTTCCTATCGAAAATGACATTGAGCTATGACTCTGTGGAATCCATGGGGAAACCCTGGCGTGGAGCTGCTCCCCCAGAGCTCACTCAGGGGGAAAGAGGAGGCCTGAAGGAAGGGTCACCTGATCCCCTTTAGGCTGATTGGCTGCTTCTTCAGAGTGTCCAGGGAGGGTGGAGGATGGTTTTGTAGCTGACGGATGTGAAATCTCTGCCCCAGGCACCGTGTGGAGAGAGACACCTAAGAGCACATTCTCCTCTACCTCATTCTCATTTGGTTTGATATTTGGATAATCTTTGAAGGCAAGCTACTGTGATGAAGTGTGGAACAGTGCATAGAGCCATGGACTTGCAATAAGAGGAGCTGGTTTCACAACCCAGGTCAGGTGCTCACTAACTGTAACTGTGGACAAGTAATGCTACTACTCTGAGCTTCAGTTTCCAGATCTGTAAAGTACGGTGGATGGGATTCAGTGACCTCTAAGTTCCTGCCAGGGGTCTAATAAAATGTAATAAAAAAAAACTTTATTAAAGCAGACACAGACTGATATGGTAGAGTGGAAGAATCACTGTCAGAAGTTACATCTTGGCTCCAGGACTTATTGGAAAGCTGGCTTCTCTTCTCTGCCCCTCTCTACTTCTTTACCCCACCTGCACAAAGAGTGAGGG